CCTTGTGTGTACTGAGCAGGCACTCCCCAACTGAACTATATATACTCCCAGCTCTTTTTTACATTTTGAGCCAGTCTCACCAAGTTGAACTTGTGATTCACTTGCCACAGCCTCTCAAGCAGCTGGGATTATARGCATGCATCACTGCATCCATCTCCAGAAGTTTTTAACATTCTCACATTCCAAGATTTCATACACCATATCAAAATAATGATTTCCCTTTACACTTACTCTGTCTTTGTCATGTAGCATATCTGCATAGGATGACCTAAAAGACAAAAAAAGACAGGTCAGAAACCTTTGCTCATAATGACACACATCAATGCATGAAGAGCATTCACAAATATAAATGCATTCCTCAATCAGATGAAACAAACAAATCATCCATTTTAAGTTACTATAATAGAATTAAAAGCTGTGATTCTCTGGTACTGCAGAAAAAAATCTCAAAAACAGATGTTCCTTCTTAGACCCCAAAATGCTATGGTAATTAGCCCTGTCCTAATAATCTCATAGCCACTAGCATCCTGATCATGTTATATGTTATACAATTTCCTCCTTTGGAAGAATTCTAAATTCAATATCCCTAATCCTTGACCTAAGCTTGCATACATGTGCACCTTGGCAGGTGATGCTAGAAGGAGGAAGTGGGAAAGGAAAATCACACATTTGCTATGTAAGTGAAGGCCATCATCCATCATGTCTAGCATCTTCACTTCTCTTCATTTATTTATTTATTTATTTATTTTTGTGGGGGTGGTGGTAACCAGGGATTGAACTCACAGGCACTCAGCCACATCCCCAGCCCTATTTTGTTTTTTATTTAGAGACAGGGTCTTAGTTGCTTAGCACCTTGTTGTTGCTGAGGCTGGCTTTGAATTTGCAATTCTCCTGTCTCAGCCTCCCAAGCTGACAAAAAAAAAAAAAAGGTACATCAACAACTAAAAAATAAAAAAAAAGTTCAACAACTACAAAGTATTAAAGGGAGGAGAATCATTTATCCATATCTTCTGCCATAGAAATTTATAAATCTATGGTCCGCAATTAGTTCTGCACTTCATTTTCTCCCATAGTACTACACTGTGTRGTTTCCAGTCTTTTGCTATGCTAACAAAGAATAAATTCAAGCTAGTTGAGAGTAAAGAAAATTATATTTACTTGGCGTTAATTAGAATTGCAMCCTAGGAAAACACAGATTCAAACAATCTTGAAAATGAGTTCCCTGCCCACTTTCTAAGGCATATTCATTCATCATCTTTCTTGCCTCATCAGCTACTCACTTCCCCACCACTCCACTGACATCACTTTCCCTCACCACCACCAGCTCACTGCTGTCACTAACATTAAATATCAATCATCAAGGACTTCTCAGCATCCTTGTTGGGCATGTCATCTTTCCTAAAACTCTCTCCCCCTTTACACTCTGGCCAATCCCTCCTGCTTCTGCTTCTGCCTCTTGAGCTACTGCAGGATTTCTTCTTCAGCYTTTCATGTTCCACATCCTCTCAGAGACTATAACCTCTCCCTGTTTTAACTCCACTAATTTCAGAAGATCCTCTGTCTCCAGACCCACATGTCTATCTACCCACTGGCATACCCATCTGTATGTCCAAACCCAAACACATCATCTCCATCACCTTCCCTTCCTCAACACTGCCCATTCCTCCTGTATCCCCTCTACCTTAGGGGATAGCTAAAGTAGCTCCATCCCCTAGTCACTCCTATCAGAAATCTTGGTGCTTCTTCAACTTTCTCTCTCCTTCCATCACTGTTTCCAAACTCAAAACTCTGAGTTACCAAACTCAAGCTCCCTCAAAGGTGTCTCTTCCTCTCTCCATCTCTACTGCCTAAGCTTTGGGACTGCAATATTCACCCAAATGAATTCCTCTTTCATTCCCCATACTGCTCTCAGCAAGTGTTCCAAAATACAACCTGACCTTCTTTCTCCCACTTAACATTTTAATTACTCAGAAAATAATGTCCAAAGTTTTGGAAGTAAGGTAACAGTGTTGAGCTCTTATTCTGTAGCAGACACATATTTCATGCAATCTCAAGCAGCCCTAAGATAAAGGTATCATATGGTGACATGAATATTATTTAACAAGGCATGTGGTATTATACTACAGGTTGGTGAAGTAAAATAGCATGGCCAAGTTAAGAAGTGGTGAAGCCCATACTTAAGCCCATGTTCCTCTTCCTGTGTTTTATTCCAACTCTTTACAACGTGATTTCCACTGACCTTTCAGCACCTTCTCTCACCACCTACTTTGATGATACTGGGAATTAAATTCAGAGTGAATTTAATTTAATAGTGAACTACAACCCAAGCTTTTTATTTTTTTCAAGACATGGTCTTGCCAAGTTGCCCAGTGTAGTCTTGAACTTGCTATCTTTCTGGGTTAGCCTCCTGAGTAGCTGGGATTTCAGATATGTACCACCATGCCTGGCTATGCTATAATCTTTTATACCTGTCTCTTCCATAAAACTGCATTCCTTAAGGACAGTGTTGGCAAGTTGAAATCGCTTAATGATTGCTCAGTAACTACAACCACATACTTTCAAACATTCCTTCTAAGGGGGAAAAAAAAGCATTTTTCTTTTTCTTTTTTACTCAAGAGAATCTGCCTATGTAAGTGGGTCACCATTTCAGTGATACAAAAATTTCATCAATTCCACTAGTACTGAATCTTGGGTCTTCTTTACAATACTAGATAGATCTTCTGAGACTGGTAAGGCAGCTACAAATGTCTGGCACTCCAATGGGTGTTAGAGTATGTAAACAAGTCAAGATGGCGCCTGGCATTTTGCCAGAGGGAGTGGTTTAAGAAGTAACGTCAGCGAGCCATTAAGTGTGGAGATTCCTTATTGGTTGACTGCTGTATCTAGTTTATGTTAATTAAGATAAGCTGTGTATTCAGTAATGTATATATACCCCTCCTGTCCTACAATAAACGGCTCCCACTCCTGCTGTATCAATCTACACAAGTTGTTCGTCACCCACCGGTTATTTTGCTGCAGCCGGACTGCGGCAAATGGGTATGACTGTACCTAACTCTACAGATACCTTCCTGGTTAAACAGACCTGCTCATGAATAACACCAGCTATGATCATTAAGCACTGAGTGCCAGTCTACTGGAGCCATCCCAGCATGGATTACAGGCATCTGCTTTGAGATGAGTACACAATCCAGCTGTAGTCCCAACTATGAACCTGCCCTTGTTACCTGGCAATTTCCTGGTGGTAGTCATAGTGTTCATCCTCTTCCAGCCACTCAACAGATCCTGTGGTRGGATTGGCTCGCCCACAGAAGACCTTCATGGTGCCACAAGCTCCCCAGTGTCTGGATAGAAAAGCAGCCTTGCCAGTTTGCTTCTTAAGAACGGATCTGATGGTCAGAAATCTATTCAATCATGGTACCCAAAAATGAGGAGAGGACAATAAAACAAAAGGTGAGAAAAAAGAATTAAGAAATTGACAAAAATATCAAAGTCATTGAAGTATTTGTTAATCACTATTTTTATCTTTCCATCAAGATTTAACTGATCTTGCCAAGCAGGAAGGTGCACACCTGTAATTCCAGCAACTGGGGAGACTAAAGCAGGAAGACTGCAAGTTCAAAGTCAGCTCAGCAATTCAACAAGGCCCCAAGCAACTCAGCAAAACCCTGTTTTATTTAAAAAAAAAAAAAAAAAAAAAAAAGGATTGGGAATTAGAAAACATTTGCAAGGGTTCATGTGGGAAACAATCCCAAAACCCTTATCCTGTGGTCCATGAACAACCACTTCTGAAGTCATTTAAARTTCAAGATTGTAGTATAGAACTTTGTTCAATGGAATTCCTTTTCTGTCTGTGATATTGCTGTGGATAAAACCAGGAGTACAATATCCTTTCAGAACTGCAGTCACTGGCTTTATAATTCTGTATAATTAATTCCTTGCAGTGTTGGGGATTGAACCGAGGACATCACATGGTAGGCAAGTGCTCCACCACTGAGCTACACCCCTAGTCTCAAATAAATGTTGTTAGATGGGAACCATGCCMTGTGTTAACAATTTTATGAATGACTGAACTTCTGGGTAAACACTTCCATGGATAAATCCCTCATATATTAGTATGACTTGTCCTCTTTCAGAAGGAGCACTCACTTCAGATTCAGGAGACATTCTCTGACCCTTTCCACATCCTCCAGAAGCTATGAACTCACATTTAGAGGGAATGAATGGAAATCATCAAGCCAAACCCTAATTGTATTACTAGTCAGATTTCAGTTACTCATTCAAAACTTCTCTATAGCAGGCACTGTGTTAGGGACTGGGATAAATAGGACCACCATAATAAGACAGAGGAGGTCCTTGACCCCTTAGAGAATAGACTCTATGTGAGTGCAAGAAAGGAAGTGTACAGGGCACATTAAAAAAGAATAGTTAGGGGCTGGGGATGTGGCTCAAGCGGTAGCGAGCTCGTCTGGCATGCGTGGAGCCCGGATTCGATCCTCAGCACCACACACCAACAAAGATGTTGTGTCCGCCGAGAACTAAAAAATAAATATTAAAAATTCTCTCTCTCTCTCTCTCTCTCTCCTCTATCACTCTCTCTTTATTAAAAAAAAAAAAAAAGAATAGTTACAGAAGGACTCTGAAGAAGACAACATTCAAGTTGCGAGCCTGCATCGCAAGCCAGGCTAAAAGTTAGGGACATAGTTTTTATATGCCAGGAATGCTTACCCCAACTTTTCCAAGGGCCATAAACRAAAGTAGAAAGAACAAGATGCATAAAGAAAATGTGATAAAAGCCTGAATGAATGAAGCGCTTACGCACAAGAAATAATAGGAGATTAAAAGTGAGCTTCTACAAAATTCACGTGGCCTTTCGGTTTCCGAAAGGATTGTATTCTAAGTGCAACAGGAGTGATCCAAGGGTTTTAAGCAGATGCATGTCTACATCAGGTGCCTACTTTTGCAGCCMGCTCCTGGTTACGGCGTTGGGTATATGAAATGGTGTTCAACGACACTGACTAGAAAAGGCGAGTCATCAGAGCTTTTGAATCAAGAAACAGTGGCCCAGTTCGTGGTGCGAGGCACCAAGCAAGAGTGCTGTCTGTAACACAGGCCTCGTCCTGTGCTCAGCCACTGGCCCACCGAAGGCATTGCTAACCGGACTGAAAAGCCAGGGCTGGCCTGGAAACACACTCTCCAGCCAGCCAGGGCGCTCCGAGCAGCCACATGCGTACTCAGGAAAGGTCCGGAACAGGGGCTCACCGCGGCATCCGAGTACGCCCACGCCAGACACCTCCACCCAAGCCTGAGGCAGAGGACACTACGCCAGTTGTCGCCGGGACTCTAACTACGACCCCACCTTCCCAGCACGCCCAGCTTCTCACCCGGCGCAGGAATCACTCGGCTTACTACCGCCGCCGCCGCTACCGCCATCTTGCCGTGGTCAGCGTGCGGGGCGGGACCTTCGGGCGTCCACGGGGCGGGACCTGGAGCACAACCGGAGGGTTCTCCCGACGCCTCCCTCGCCTTCCCACAGTGCTTCGCGACAGCCGCTATGGAGGCCGGCAGGACTGCTGTGCTGCGGGTGAAGCGGAAGCGCACCGCGGAGCCAGCCGAGGCTCTTGTGCTTGCTTGTAAGCGCCTTCGGAGCGGCGATGTCGATGTCGAGTCAGCTGCTCAGAAGACACCGGAGGGTCTGGAGAGAGCGGCGGAGAATAATGTCTTCCAGTTGGTGGCCACCGTGCACTCTCAGGTATTGGGCGTGATGGAATTTGTGTGGAGGGGATCTTGGGTCGCGGCCACGATGGAACCGGATCTCCAACCCCCTTGCTGACGCTACCCTATCTTCCCCTGCTGCTCTCCAGGAGGAGCCAGTCCAGCAGCTCGTGCGGGCTGCCTTGCGCCCTTCACGGGGCAGCCAGCAGCGTATCCGCCGCGATCTCCGCGCCTCAGCTCGCGATGTGCGGAAAGAAGGCCGCTACCGGGTGGTCTCCAGCCGCAGATCCTCAGGGACCTCCGGCAGCCTGGAGTCCGAGTATGCGCCAGGAACCCCAAAAGCTGCTGGGGACGCAGACTTTCAGCTATTGGACTTGGTACATGAGGAGGAAGACCCAGAGGCTGACACCACGGCCTCCTTCAAAGTGAGTATGCATCAGGAAGAGGGTCCTGGACTTCTTTGGTGGTAATACCAGAAAGAGTCTGCGCAGAGGGCAGCACTTAGTTAAGTGGCCGCACATAGCTTAACCTTAGGAATAGATTTTACCGATTTGATTTTTTACTCTACACGTATTTACTCAGTGAGTGCCTATGTGCCAGGTATTGTTCTTAAATTGTATGCATACAACAGTGAGGACAGAGAAGGAAACATTCAAGCAGAGGAGAAAAACTATAGCGAGTAAATTGTCAGAAGGGGACAAAGGCGAGAAAGCGTGGTGCCAATTTTGTGAAAAAAGCCTTTCAAGTAAAGACTTGAAAGTGAATGGCAAGGCTGGGCGCGCTGGCACACCCCTATAATCCCAGCAGCTCAGGAGGCAGAGGCCTATCTTAGGAAGATCCTGTCTCTAAATATAATATTTAAAAAGGGCTGAGGACGTGGGTCAGTAGTTAAGAGCCCCTAGGTTCAATCCATAATACTAAAAATTAAAAAAAAAAAAAAAGGAAGGAAGGAAGGGAAGGAATGATGATGGGCATTGGTTGGGGGGCGAGGGCTTTCAAGGCAGAGGACCTGCAAGGGCAAAGGCCCTAAAGCTGAATTTGTGTGGTGTTCAGTGGACCAACAGGTGGGGACCTGTGTGTTAGAGCCAAATCTTTCCCCATAAAGAGCTTTGCTCAAGAGCCTGCACAAAAACTTGCATCTGTAGTTTCATTGACTTTGATGGGAGAATCCTCTGAACCTGTAAATGACAACCTCAGTCTCCCTGTGTGCTTTGACCATGGGACACTCTCCACTTTCTCATGTGGTATCTGGTTTGAGCTATGCAGCTTCCTGTGATGAATCTGTTGAGAGGCATTCCACAGCACATCCCCCTAGTTTCCATATCTACTTGTGCTACAGGACCCTGGATAAGACATCTTATAGGCATTGGACCACATCTTACCTGGACTAGACCTATTCTGGGACATTTCATTCAAGCTATTCTTTTGAGCAGAAAAGATAGGTGAATCAATTTGTGCTTTAAAAAGAGGTCACTGTCTGCCATGGTAGTGCACATCTATAATCCCAGTGACTCAGGAGAGGAGGCAGAGATGAGAGGATTGCAAGGGACAGGCCAGCCTCACCAATTTAGCAAAATCCCATCTCAAAATAAAAATAAGGGCTGGGAATGTAGCTCAGTGGTAAAGTGCCCCTGGGTTCAATCCCTAATACCATTAAAAAAAAAAAAAAAAATGATGTCAATGGGGCAAGCCAAAGAATGAGCAATGGTAGTGGTCCCCAGAAGTTGCCTGTAGGCCTCTAAAAAAATGCCAGCCCATTTTATGGTCAGCAATAGMGGTGCTGTTTGGATCTGTGGATCCCTAATGGGAAAATATCATGCCAAAGGAACTCAGAGAAGATCTAGATCTGTAGAAGCAGTTTGACTCAGAGCTTGGGAACAAGCTGGCCAATTTATCTAACTCCCTTTGCCTCTTTTTAGGCCAGTGTTTAAGTTGTAAATGGACACAAATCTTTATTTAAATATTCATTTATTTTTATGTGGTGCTGAGGATTGAACCCATGTGTGCCTTGACAATGGGACACTCTCCACTTTCTCATGTAGTATCTGGTTTGAGCTATGCAGCTTCCTCACATGTGTGAGGCAAATGCTCTGCCACTGAGCTACAACCCCAGCCCCCATATGTTTTTTTATGTCAGCCAAGATCAAAAGAGCAGGAGGAATTCTTAATAGGTTTTTATTCAAAAAGGACTACCCGTTAGTTTTACAGACATTCTGGATTTCTTTAATTTTGTAGCTAATTAAGAAGAGATTAGTGGTCTATGAGAATCTTTTTTTTTTTTTTAATACTGTTTAGTTGTAGATGGACACAGTATCTTTATTTATTTGTTTTCATGTGGTGCTGATGATCGAACCCAGGACCTCACACGTGCAAGGCAGGCACTTTACCACTGAGCTACAGCCCTAGCCCTAGAATAAGAATCTTAAATATTAACAGAACTGTAACAGGCCTTCTTTCACACAACTCTTTGGTTCCTCACGGAAAACGTTTTGAGTCATGCCTGTATTATGTTTTCACAGACATCTGACCCAGATGTGATCCTCTGCAATTCTGTAGAGATGATCCGCGAGCGGTTGACTGTATCTGAGGATGGACCAGGAGTCGGGCACCAAGAGGAACAAAAGCACGATGACTATGTGTATGACATTTACTACTTGGAGATGGCCACTCCAGGGTGGATTGAGAATATCCTCTCTGTGCAGCCCTACAGCCAGGAATGGGACCTGGTAAGGAGRTCGATGAAGGGAGGAGGGCATGTAGCTACCTGAACTTTTTCTTTGGTTAGGGTGCTTTGCCTCTCCGGGCTTCACTTCTTATCATTTTTCTTGTTCTTACTTAAAAGGAAAAACTTATTCTAGATTGGTTTTGTTATTGTAATACTGGGGATTGAACCCAGGGCCTGGCACACACTAAGCAAGCTCTCAACCACTGTGGTACATCCCCAACTTTTTAATTTGGGACAGGGTCTATTTAAGTTGATTATGCTGGCCTTGAACTGGGATACACCTGCATCAGCCTCCAGAGTAGCTTGGATTACAGGCATATGCCCCTGTGCCCATCAGGAAATAAATTCTCCACATGGCAGTAAAAATTTACTCTAAATGTCTTTTATAAACCTGAGCTTAAGTGTAGGAAATTTTAGGAAATACCCCCAAATTTTCTTTCTCTACCATTGAACAGTATTTCCAAGGGGACTGCTGGGGGTTGATATTTTTTAGAAGCAATGATAATTTTTGCTCATAATCTTTTACAAGGTTTACAAAATTATCTTTATTGTTTATGGCTACCTGTTTATAGCTATCCACTTTAGAGGGTAAATATGTATAAGGGCTTAAATAAAATCAAAGTAAAAACAGATTTTTTTTCTTCTTTTTCTTTTTTTGGTAGTGGGAATTGAACCCAAGGAGACTTCACTACTGAGCAACATCCCTAGTCCCTTTTCTTTTTCTTTTGAGACAGGATCTCACTAAGTTACCCAGGATGGCCTTGAACTTGTAATCCTCTTGCCTCTACCTCCCAAGTTACCAGGATTGGTGTGCACCACTACATCTGGCAAAATCAGACATTCTTAACATGGATGAGAACAAAAGCTTTTATTTATTTATTTATTTATTTATTTATTTAGGATGCTGAGGAATTAACCTAGGGGCACTTAACCACTAAGCCACATTCCAGCCCTTTTTAGATTTTTATTAATTTATTTAGGCACTGAGGATTGAACCCAGGTCCTCATGCATGCTGGGCAAGGACTCTACTGCTGAGCCACACCCTTTTTTATTTTGAAACAGGGTCTCTCTAAGTTGCTGAGACTGGCTTCAACTTGTGATCCTCTTGCCTCAGCCTCATGAGTAGCTGGGATTACCGGAGTGCACAAAAGTTTTTATTTTAATTGTATTAAAAGAGGAGAAAACTTTGGATGATGAAAGCTAACATCCTAACACCATATTCTTAAATTTTAATATGATTAATGAGAAAGATGTAGTTGGCACCTGATATACTCAAATTGTAAAAGTTAAGTACCTTCTCTTGCACCTGCACTGTTCCCATAGTTTTGCTGTCAGGCCTCCACCATGGACCACTACATAGTTCCTACTCCTGCCTTTGTGCACCTCCTCATATTGTGTTTTAGTTCTGACCTTTGGCATCACCCACAATCCATAAAATTCCTCTCCCATCTGGTGGCCCTCCAGGAGTTTGAAGATTGATGTCATTACCTGCTCAGAGCTGTGGCTCCTCTGCATTCCATTCTGGTGGAGCTGAATCATCTCCTCTTAGCCTGAGATTATCATAGCCCCTTGTATAGCAGTTAAACTAACTCCTAATCTGCCTTTTTCACATGGTACTTTCACCTGAATCTCCCCAGTATCCTAATAGCTTCCTCCAAAGAGCATACCCTAAAGATGATTTGACTTAGACTTATGTTTGTGTTGAGATGTGCAGGTAAATGATGATCAACAACCAGATGATATTTATGAAGACGAAGATGATGAGAACAGTGAGAATAATTGGCGCAACGAGTACCCAGAGGAGGAGAGCAGTGATGGTGATGATTCCAGAGGTAGGTAGAAGATTGGATAGGGAGAGACTGATAAGATCCAAGTCTGAGGTGAAGGCAATTGACAGGTACATCTCAACTGATTTCCTTCTCTGCCATTGAACTGCATTTCCAGGAGGACTGCTGGGAGCATAATGTCAGTCAGGCCTGAGTTCAGATCCTTAGTTCTGTCATTGCCTTCTTTTTTTTTTTTTTTTGTTTAGTTCTCGGCAGACACAACATCTTTGTTGGTATGTGGTGCTGAAGATCGAACCCGGGTCACACGCATACTAGGCGAGCACGCTACCGCTTGAGCCACATCCCCAGCCCCTGTCATTGCCTTCTTATGACTCTTATGCAAGTTACTCCAGTGAGCCTCATTTCTCCTTCAAAAAATGAGACAATACTGCACCAACTTCAGGGGTTGGGATTTAGTAAAACATCTAGCCCGATGCCCCTCTCCCTGCTCCTATCTAGGAATAATGAAGAAAGTGGGTTGCCAGTAGGGATAGGCCCAAGATTTTCACAAGTCTGTCAAATAATTTCAAAAAATTTCTACATTTCCAATTCTTTAGAGAATGATATAACACAGACGTACTATTTAGGGGAAGAAGGAGGAAGGATATCCTGGCAACTCAGTTTCTTTGGTGACTACATTCTTTTGAGTACAGCCAATAAAAATAATTTTTTGATGTCTCATAATAAAGAAAGAATTTTACCAAAGGGGAAAGTAAGTGACAAGATACTCCCATTATTAGGGACTTGGTTAGATGTTGGGAATGAATACTTTAAAAATGTTCTACATTCTAGATATTATTTACTGAAAATGTATTTTATAATGGGGAAGGGAAGGAGTTCTTGCCATACCCTATAAAATCATAGAGTAAGAATCCATTCCTGGTGTCTCCATCTAGACTCTGATGAATATAACAGCCTCAGTGAGGAGGAAAGAGGCAGCAGCAGGCGACTGGTATGGAGCAAGTACCCTCTGGATGTACAGAAGGAGTTTGGCTATGACAACCCCCACGACCTGGATTCAGATTGATGGTCTTGTGATATCCAGGAGGTCTACCACAGGCCTTTGAGGGCTCTGTGACTGGTATCAACTGGCCTAGCAACATGCTCTTAGGATTCCTAGGTGAACATGTGGAAGGAAAAAGCAGACCCAATAGTACCACCCCAACAGTGAAAACTTAAGGGAGTACATCTTTTCTACTCACAGTAGGTTCCTTGACCTCTATCAAAAGAGACCCTACCATCTGGGGGAAAAAAAAAAAATGGAAGTTCCTTTCACTTCCTGGCCCAGGCATTTTTCCTAATATTCCAGTTCTCCCATGCTGAAGCCAGAAGGGAAGGAGAGACACCTGTTTCATTAGCAGTAATATTCTGCTTCTCCCCACCCCACCCCAGGCTGCCTACCTGCAGTAAAAGCCTGCTCTCTTCGATAGAGGGGATCTAGAAGGGCTACAGTGGGTCCCTTGCAGGGCACAACCCAGTTATAACAACTATTAGGGCAGAACGTGGAATCTGAGCTGGGAGGTTTTAGTCAATAGGTCTTTGTCCTCCCTGCTTCGGACTTCAATAATGGTTGTAAAGATTGCTGTTGTTCTTTGGTAATGGGGCCAAGGCACAATGCATATGAATGATACTATTAAATAAAGATTAACTTTTAATATGGAAGCAAGCAATTTTTCAAAAACTTTTCCCCCTTTTTTTGCAGTTCTGGGAACTGAACCCAGGAGTACTCTACCGCTAAGCAACACCTCCAGCCCTTTTTATTTTTTTGAGACAGGGTCTCACTAAATGACTAGCCTCAAACTTATCATCCTCCTTCCTTTAGCCTAATAAGTAGCTGGGATTACAGATAAGCACTAACACACCCAACTCTTCAAAACCTTTTAAATCTGAATATCTTAGGTGTTTTTCCATTGACTTTCCCCCACAAAAAAAAAAAAATGGGGGGGTTAATGAGGTAGAAGTTACAGAATTAACCTTAGACATAAAGGTCTCACAACAAGGGAGGATGAAGTAAGCATAATCTGAACTTGGCTTTCTATCGAGAAGTGTTTCTTACCAAAACAGTAATTGTCCTTCAGTATCTGTGGGTGACTGATTCAAAAACCTCCYGTGGATACCAAAATCCAAAGATGCTCAAGTCCCTTGTATAAAATGACATAATATTTGCATATAACCTACACACATCCTTTAAATACTTTGTCATCTCCAGATTATTTATAAAATCTAATGCAGGCAGGCACTGTGGCACACCCCTGTAATCCCAACAGCTCACAAGGCTCAGGCAGGAGGACCACAAGTTCAATGCCAGCCTCAGCGACCTAGCAAGGCCCTAAGTGGCTCAGTGGTTGAGTGCCCCTGGGTTCAAACCCCACTACCAAAACAACCAAAAAAAAGAGTGCAATATACATAGCTGATATACTGTATTTGGGGAATAATGACAAAAACTATGTTTAGTATAGGTAGTTTTTTTTTCCTACCAAAAAATATTTTTAAGCTACAGTTAGTTGAATCCATGAATGCAAAATTTATAACTATATATGAACAGAACAAATTTTGGTGCCCAAACTTTAAATCTCTTGTAAGCAATCTCTATCCCTACTCTTTTCAAAATCCCAGCTGCCTTAACTGTTTGGCATTGATTCTGGTCAAATAGAATTTTGTGCAGTGATAAATGTTCTATATCTATACTCTCTAATAGTAGCCACTAGCCACATGTGGTCATTGAGCATTTGCAATCTGATTAGTGCAACTGAGAAACTGAATTTTTTTTTCTTTCTTTTTTTCTACTGAACCCAGGGCCTTACACACATTAGGCAAGTGCTGTGCCACTGAGCTACATCTCAGCCCTTTTTAATTTTTTTTAAATTTCGAGAAAGGGTCTCGCTAAGAGCTGGCCTCAGATTTGGACTCCTCTTGCCTGTTTGCTGAGTAGCTGAGATTACCATACCTGGCCATGAATTTTTTACTTTGTTTTAACTAGCTACATTAGCACAGGTCTAGGGAAACACACAAAACTTTCCATTTGAGGTAGCCATCTTACCCTGTTTCTCTATCACATAGGAAAGTGAAATATACAGGGAGAAGTCTTCTTCTCATCTCTTTCAAGATTTTATAGGTTTCTCTACTTGTCCCTTCCTACTTCTACSCATTCTTTTTACTTTATGTCCATTTTATAAGCACTTACCTACATTTGTTTGATACTACCTATCTACATGGAATTGTTAAATCTGCTAGAATTATTAGGCTCTGTACTCAGGCTATTACTGCAGCTAATTAAACCTAAAAGCAGGCTTAATACTAGTCATCTTAGTCTCCTTCTGTAGACATAGAAATGAAGGATTAAAAACCACTTTGCCGTTTTAATGTACTCACTGCTGTTTATGTATTCATTAAGTTTCGTCAACATCAAAGGGCTGACAGCTTCACAAACTACCTACTGAAAAGGGTACAAATTGTACCATTGCAAAAGGGATTAGCACACCAGGAGAAGGATTTAGTAAGATTTAACGAAGACCTGGTGGGAACTAATTCCACTATGAAACTTGAGTCTGTAGGGTGTCTGGCTACCCTCCCACAAAGGGTTTCTAAGAGAAGTTTGTATCCAACACCGAGGAAGAATGTTGTCATCCTTCAGTAATGAGAGGAGGATGACATGGCTCACTAAGCAAGCTCTTAGCACCTGAAGTGTGGTGTCCCTTCTTCTGAGAAGCCACTGGGGGGCGGCACATTCCTGGGAGAAGCTGGTTATTGGGTGGAAAACACTAAAGCCAGAGTCAAGGATCCTCAGTTAAGCACAATGCTTAAAGGATTAGCTCCAGAGGAGCCCTGGGATGGTGCCAGCTCAGCTCAGACAGAAATCATATTTATATAGTTTAGGCAAGTCAGCCTTTGCACAAGACTCCTTGTCATCAGACAGGAATTTGGTATACAAATCCCCAACCCATGACAGTAGGAATGTCCCCCCATATTCTCACAGATGCATGCCCTGAACCAAAGGCAAGTGATCATGCTCCCCTAAAACTTTATTAAGCAAGTATATGTCCAAGGTAATTACCTTGTCTGCAACTGGGATCAGTTTGGTGAAGAATGATCAAAAGGAAAGATTGCCCCACAGTTCTTGTCTTCACTGTCGACCAATTCCAAAATCTAAGGACAAGATGTCCATGGGATGTGCTAGATCAACAAGTTCTTCTGGGTCTAAGATGACAGTATCTGGGGGCATCCCAGAACAGTTGTATAATCCAATGCAGCCATGAAGGAAGATCCCATTAGGCCAAACCTGCTGCTCTGGACTGACCTGGTGGCCCAGCTTAAGCACCAGAGTTAGTTGCTTTCCATTCTTGAAAGTTAGCTGAGGTGCCAGATTGAGGTTGAAGCAGCTTTTCCCCTAGAGTCTTCACTGATCTCCACAGGAAAAAAAAATAGAAGTCCCACAAGTACCAAGTGCTTCCTGAGACTGCAGCCCTGCAAGGCCTCAGGGGCAAGGGAAGGTGGGCAGGAAAGGAGTGCACTATCCCTGTGACCCACCCTGAGGCAGCTTGGAGTGTAAACAAAGCCTGGTGCCAATAACAGAACCCAGGATGCAGCCTGGTGTGAGGTTTTCAGAAAAAGAAAATGACTACTTTCAGCACCAGAGTGGGCTTGCTTGGGTCTGCACAGCAGTCCCTCACACTGGCCCTTTCAGAAAGGAACAAGTTATTTGATGACTTGGGTCCATAAGATGTTCCCCCAAATTACTGATAGTGGATAGAATTCAGGTGACCCTCCTGAATTCCAGAACATTTCAGCCCTCTTAAACTTCATACCAGAAACCCAGAGATTAACTGTATCAACTAGAACAATGACCTAAGGTTTCAATAAAATAAAGGATTATCCTTCAAAAATATTAGTATTACCAGATTTCTCTACTTGTCAGACCTGAGCCAGTTGCTAGTAACACAAGACCTAAAGTATATGTCCATGATTTTAAAAATCCTTAAAGTTCACTTTTGCAGGTAAGACTCAACTGAAGATTGTGTGAAAGTGAACATAAAATCTATTATCAGAATCTGATTTACCACCACATTGAGACATCTCTCAGGGCAGAGAGACTCAGTTTGGGGTATTTTGAATTTTTAAACACAGACTATTATTTCCTATACATGAATGAACATTCTTTTGCTAGAATTGGTGTTCCAGGTTAAATATCAATAAGTAAAGGAATACTGGAATTTGAATTTGGTGGTAGCAGTGGCAGTGTCCAGTTAGCCACAGAGCTGCTCCTTGTTAGCTGGAACAGGGAGGTCTTCCCCAGCCCTTGTTTTGGGACTGCAGCCTCTGCCAAAGCATCATGGTTCTAGCTAGGAAGGTACAGGTAGGCAGGTGGCCAAAATCAACTCAATTCAGAGCCAGAAGCTTGCCTCTTTTCTTAAGGATTTTGACCATAAGTGCAAATGTGTTCCAGGGAAATTCAGTCAGACAGGCAGGACCTCCTCCAAAAGAAGGCTAATCTGTATACAGCAAAATCCTGTGGCTCCCCAAGCACATGGACACAAATGAGAAGTCAACCTTGACAATATGGAACTTCAGTGGCCACCGTTGAGACCATGAACAGCCTTCCTCCTGTCAAGCTTATTGTTTGAGTGTGAAGTTTCATTACACAGAATGGTATTTCTCTTGTGGAATTCAGGAAAGGGGAGACACGTTCCCACATCAGTTAAATAAAGCTTGCTGTTTGTGCCTCCCCCAAAACAAACAAGGAATATAACCCTCTTCCCAGGGAAGAATTCTGAGCCAGAGGAAGAAATAGTAGCATTTTGAGCCTCTAACATCAGGAGGTTGCACCTGGTCAGAGGAAAGCTCCCATAAAGTATCCTCACTTTAGAGACTTTTGGTTCAAACTTCACATGCTGTGAACCACAATCAGAGCCATCAATCTAGCACTTCCTCTCCTCTGCAGCAACTTACCCAGTATGTCAGGGGTGCACCTACTCACCCTGGAAAACTAAACAACCATTCCCCTGTTCCCCAACCCCCCCTCTACCCTGAGGTTCCCACCTTCAGGTACCCCAACCCTGAGTCTCCTCCCATAGCTTACCAATGAGTGAGCACTGGCCCTGAGTCCCCTTACAGAATGTGGCTCAATAGGCTCCTTTAATTCAGGAGGGCTAGGCCCACATAGTCTTGTTATCTGGACTTTGGTGGTTATGGCCACAGGTGGCCAGCTTTCCAGGCCTCAGGGAATGTCACCTCTGGCCTCTAGTCAGTTTTACTCTCAACCTTTTTCTCTTCAGTTACATCTAGCTCAGTCAGGACGCAAAAGCAAAGTTGCTGGGTGATTCTGGTGAAGGTAGCTAAATGAAAACAAAGAATCATAGGTTTTAGCAAACACATTTAGCTGCAGCCCCAACCTGAACAAACTGAAGGCTAAAAGCACATTTGTGGCTCCTTTCCCACCTGTCCCTTGGGTACCCTGGGCCAGGCTTCACCCCTCCCCACTATCCAGCCTCCTTGTCCTCATTCCATACCCAGCCAGTCTGAGGCATGACCACTTGTTTTCCTTGTACTGTCAAAAGATAATGCTTTAACCCCCAAATAGGACTCTAAAATCAGAACTAAAGAGATCATGTCAAGATCAAAAGAAAAGTCTTGTGAGCAGCCAGGTCTCATCCTCCAAAAAGTCACCAGAGTGGCAAGGGGAGTAGTTAGCCCCTGTGGGAACCTGTGCACATGTGTATATAGCCAATAAGTGATGGGACAAAGAAACTCACCCAGAACATTCCGAAGAAAGAGAGGCCTCCGGGATTCTGGAAGGTAAACACCCACGAAGTAGACAGGGACCCCGGAGAGGGCAATCCCAATGCCAATGAGAGAATTGATGGTGTCACTGAAGAGAGGCACAATCACCAGAAACAAGGAGCATATGCAGAACACGATGGGAAAAAATAGGCTCAGCTGAAATGGAGGGGGGTGAGATATTAAATAAGATGAGATAAGGGAATAGGGCATGGGTAAAAAGGCATACTAGGGAGAGGGCCCCCACTTCCTTGTCTGCACAGAACTGCTGACCTTGAGTGGCCGGGGCCGATCGGGCTCCTTCCAGCGAAGGTAGAGCTGTCCAACAACAGACAGGCCCACAAAGAACCAGTAGCTGAAGCTGAAGTAGTTGATGAGCAGGAAAACATCCTCCACGGTGAGGTAGATGAGTGTCATGGTACACTGGGGAAAGCGCAAGGGAGAGGAGGGGAATATTATCACCAAAAGCCCACCCCAGGAGAGTCCACCTTCCAGCAATCATCAGATCTGATGTAGCTTCACCAGATTATCTCTGGTTTTCAGTGACCTCTTGGTATTATATACACCTGTTCTTCACATTAATCTTCAAGGCAGTGCCTCACCTTCTTCTGTTAAGCCCTTCCTACAATCAGTGCCTCCTTTCTTGTTGCAAGCACTTCAATAGCAAGGCAAGTTCTCTCGTCTTCTGATGGCAGAAAGGGATACTCTCAATGCACCAACCTCAACATGAATCACACTCTTCCCTAGGAAGATGCTTAAACTTGGATTGTTTGGCTTCAGAAATGCAGATTAGCACCAGCTGTGGTGGCACAGGCTTGTAAATCCTAGCTACTAGGGAGACTGAGGCAGAAGTATCACAAGTTTCAGGCCTGTCTGTGCTATCTAGCTATCTATTTTTACGGTACTGGGATTGAACCCAGGGACTTTTAAAGATTTGTATTTTGAGGGCTGGGGATGTGGCTCAAGTGGTAACGCACTTGCCTGGCATGCATGCGGCCCAGGTTCGATCCTCAGCACCACATACAAACAAAGATGTTGGGCCCGCCGAAAACTAAAAAAATAAATATTAAAAAAAATTCTCTTTCTCTTTATAAAAAAAATTTTAAAAAAAAGATTTGTATTTTGAGACAGGATCTCACTAAATTGCTGAAGCTGGTCTCAAATTTATGATCCTCCTGCCTCAGCCTCCTGAGTAGCTGGGATTTCAGGCATGCACCAGTACACCCAGCTCCACCTGGGCAATTTAACAAGACCCTGTCTCAAAAATAAAATTTAAAAGAAAAGGGCTTAGAGATAGAATGCTCCTGGATTCAATCCCCAGTATGAAAAAAACAGATTAGCAAAATGGATCCATACCTCCAAGAGAGGTGGGGTGAGGGGTGGGTATGACAGAACTTGCCCTCTAGAACAAAGAATCCTGGAGGAGGACAAACCCGCAAAAATACAGTTATCTCATACTAGACAAAGGAGCCAAAAACATACATTGGAGAAAAGACTCTTCAACAGATGGTGCTGAGAAAACTAGAAATCCATATGTAGCAAAATGAAACTTAAACCCATGTCTCTCACCATGCACAAAATTCAACTCAAAGTGGATCAAGGACCTAGGAATTAGACCAAAGACCCTGTGCCTAATAGAAGAAAAAGTAGGCCAAAATCTTCATCATGTCAGATTAGGCCCTGACTTCCTTAACAAGACTCCTAAAGCACAAGAAATAATCTCAAGAATCAATAAATGGGATGGATTCAAACTAAAAAGCTTCTTTTCAGCAAAAGAAACAATCGATGAGGTGAAGAAAGAGCCTACATTCTGGAAGCTAATTTTTGCCACATGCATGTCTATAAATAGAGCACTAATCCCCAGGATATATAAATAACTCAAAAAAAAAAAAAACCAAAATGGGCTAAGGAGCTGTGCTATCTTTTCCAGAAGAATATATACAATCAATTAACAAATATATGACAAAATGGTCTACGTCTCTAGTAATTAGAGAAATGCAAATCAAAACTAAGATTTCATCTCACGCCAGTCAGAATGGTATCAAGAATACCAACAACAAGTGTTGGCGAGGATGTGGGGGAAAAGGCACACTCATACATTGCTGGTGGAACTGCAAATTGGTGTGCCACTCTGGAAAGCAATATGGAGATTCCTTAGAAAACTTGGAATGGAACCACCATTTGACCCAGCTATCCCACTCCTCAGTCTATACCCAATGGACTTAAAATCAGCACACAATAAAGCAGCCACATCGATGTTTATAGCAGCTCAATTCACAATAGCTAAACTGTGGAGCCAACCTACATGCCCTTCAATAGATGAATGGATAAAGAAACTGGTATATATAAACAATGGAATATTACTCAGCATTAAAAGAGAATAAAATCATGGCATTTGCAGGTAAATGGATGGAGTTGGAGAATATCATGCTAAGAGAAACAAACCAATCCCCAAAACCAAAGGCCTAATGTTCTCTCTGATGATAAGTGGATGATGATCTATAATGGGGGGGAACAGGGAAAAATGGAGGAACTTTGATTGGGCAAAGGGGAAGGACAAGAGGAGAGAGTATGGGGGTAGTAAAGATGATGAAATGTGATGGGCATTATTACCCTAGGTACATGTATGACTGCACATATGGTGCAAGGCTACATCACWTATAATCAGAGAAATCAAAAGTTGTGCTGCAGTTGTGTACAATGAATCAAAATGCATTCAGTTGTCACATATACCTATTTAAAATAAATAAATAAATTTTATTTTAAAAAAAAAGAATCCTGGGGGACAAAAGTCAGGGACTACAGTCCTGAGACAGTTTGGATTTGCTTAAATTCAATATGAAGAATTCTCCCTACCTAAAATTACCCCAAATTATCAACAGAAGATTTAAAAATTTAAAAAGTCCATTCTAAAGAGATAAGGGAGGACCTTGTATTAAGGGACGTAACTCAGTAGTAGGATGTGCTAGCATGCAAAAGGCTTTGGGTTTCATCCCCACAATGCAAAATATATGATGAACTGCTTTTCAAATCTCAGAGTAAGCCTTTCTCTGGGTCCCTGTTTGTTATGGTTTGGATATGAGGTGCTCCCCGCAAAGCTCCTGTGTTAATGCAGGAATGTTCAGAGGTAAAGTGATTGAATTCTAAGAGCTGTAACCTAATCCGTCCATCATAGTATGAATAGGCTGGGTGGTAACTGTAGGCAGGTGGGGTGTGGCTGGAGGAGGTGGTCACTTGGCTAGGTGTTCTGGAAGGGTGCATTCTCTTCCCTCTCTTTCTCTGAGCTTCCTTGCTGCCATGAAGGAAGGTCTTCTGCTGGACTCTTCCCCCATGACGTGCTGCCTCACCTTAGGCCCAAATTAATGAAATTGGCCGTCTGTGGACTGAGATCTCTGTAACTGTGAGCCCCAAATAAAATTTTCCTCCTCCAAGTTGTTCTTTTTGGGTATTTTGGTTTCAAGGGGGGAAAAAAAAAACAAGGGACTAAAACACTCTTCCATATAAAACACCTTAGTTAGAATTAGGAGCCCTGCACAGACATGCCCAAGCCCATACTGCCCCCAACAAAGCTTACATTGAACAACAAAGCTGGGATGGGTGTAAAACGCTCAATGTGAATCATAGACAGAAGATCTGGGAGGTGGCCCTCACGTGAGCCCACGAAGAACAACCTGGAGGGATAAGAAATGTGTAAACATGTTTCTTTTAGTGAGCCATACTCCTCACTTGGACAAAAAAAAGACCTAGAGCCCCAGAAAAAGGGGACAGTCTCCCAGGCTCTATGCATGCCCAACTCATTAGTGATAATACCCACAGATGCCTCCACCCTCAGCCCTAAGCCCCTCACTAATACCCTGGAACCACCCCCCAATCATTATCCACTGACCACCCCAGGCCATCAGCAATGGAATTTGCTATCCCCCACAGATACCCACCGCTTCTCTCAACCAGATATCTCACCAACATCCCACAGATGCCACACCCTGCCATTGCTTCCTAGCAGAACAATCCATTTCCCAGGGGTACCCCCACTCTGCCATATTACAAATTCATAGCCAACCCAATGGCTTTTAAAGAAGAGCTGCCAGATTTCTATTTGTGCTCAGAGTATATCTACCCCAAGTACCTGATATATGATAGGCCAAGGTGAGTATAGGGATCAAAGAGAGAACCCAGGCCTCCTCTCTATACCTAATGAGCTTTACCAACTGAAAAACAGACCAGCATGAAAATGAAGTGGTACCCAGGGTAGCCAGCAGCATCAGAGTGCATAGGACTCATTCACTAGGCTTGAGGGTTGGCTGAGGGAACAAAAAGCTTTGCAAAGATGACAACATCTGGGCTAGAAGAAGAACTAGAGTTTGCCAGGAGTGGGTAGGTGGGGAACCAACATGTACGAAGGTAAAAGAGCTTGGAGGCATGAAAGAGCACTGCTTCTTTGAATGCTGATGCTACAATTCAAAGACCCAGGATGAAATATACAAGGAGGGAGTGCCTGGAATTACCTGTATAAAAGGCCCAGCAGGGAGCCAGCTGTGACTTTGAAATAAAGACCTGTTAGGACTTACTGCCCTCTGGTGACCCCTGGTGGCATCATGGTGGCCACACTAAAGCAGGAAGATGCTAGGGTATGAAAGAAAGGCCAGACAAGGTCATCCATTACAATTGTTCCATAAGATCAGAGCCATAAAGGTGGGTACCCAGGTTGAAGAATGAACAAGACAGATAGCATAACCTCAAGCATTGTAATGTGACTGTATGTGTGTGTATGTTTATGTGCAAGTTTGAGCTGGGGGGAACAGGGTGGCACCAAGGGAAAAATCAAGATACCAAGTAGCCAAATAAGAAAAAACATGGGGCACAACTGGAGAGAAATCACATGTGGGGTTCACAGTAAGTCTGAGATACTTGGGGGCCATCTCACAGAGCCCTAGGGTCAATGACATCACCTGGAAAGACATTATAGGGCAAGATATTAGAATTTGTTCATGAGGCTAATAATTTGTACTAGATAGAGGAGAAATATGACAAAGGGCATGCTGGAAGAGGAGAGGAGGCAAAGATGTACAAAGCCTCAAATAGCTGACAAAGCAAAGAAGACAGAGCAAAAAAGACAACACAGGCAGCAACTTTGACATCACTCTCCAAGTGTCCTCCACCTCCTTATTGCCAATGCCACAAGATGCCTGAGAGAGGTGAGAAAGCACCCACTATCTGGGACAACTGGCAGAGCCCAGTGAGATGTCTTGGAGCATCAGTAAGCATGAGGCTACGGGGAGTACCATGATGGGTGGGGCACCCTGTGAAGAGCCACACCAGGCTAAGTTGAGGGAGAATGACACTATATTTTCGGGGGGGGGGGGGGAGCATTGAACTTGGGGCACTCAGCCAATGAACCACATCCCCAGTCCTATTTTTTATTTTATTTAGAGNATACAGACTTTTCAGAGATGTGTTCTTTTAAAACCTGTAGGGGAATTCTTTCTTGTCCCTTCCTGTCTTTTTTTTTTTTTTTTTTTTTTTTTTTTGCTTTTTGGTACCAGGGATTGAACTCAGGGGCACTCAGCCAATGAACCACATCCCCAGTCCTATTTTTTATTTTATTTAGAGACAGGGTCTCACTGAGTTGCTTAGCGCCTCACCGTTGCTGAGCCTGGCTTGGAATTCACAATCCTCCTGCCTCAGCCTTCTGAGCTGCTGGGATTACTGGTGTGCACCACCATGCTGGATACACTATATTCTTTACTAAGGCCTTGAACACTCTATTACTCTGGTTGCCCCAAAGATGCCACAAATACATATATTGGTGTGTAAAAACTAGTAAAAAGAATGAATGGGACAAAGCTTTTACTGATTCATCCTTCTGTGTGTTCATGTGGCAAATATATATTAAATGCTACACTCCTGGCCCTGGGGACAAAACCATTTATAGAATAAATGGATGAATAATCAGAAAAGAAGCCTTCTTCTCAGTTATCAGATGTCACAGAAGCCATGCAAATAGTTTCAGAAAGAGAAAGTGGTCAGCATCACTTGCTTCAGAGGTCCAGTAGAATGAGGACTGAAGACAGGCTAAAAGGAAGGAATTCTTAATAAGAATATTTGTTAAGGGCTAGGGTTGTGGCTCAGTGGTAGAGTGCTCACCTAGCATGTGTGGGGCACTGGGTTCGATCCTCAGCACCACATAAAAAAATAAATAAACAAAATAAAGATATTGTGTTTATCTACAACTAAAACAGAAATTCTTAAAAAAAAAAAAAGAATATCTGTCAAGTAACAGAAGCCAAACTATAAGTGGAAAATGAAATGTTGACTACTGTTCTCAAGTACATACCAGGGATAAGGGTGGAGTATGTATTTAATATATGTAGGGATTTAGTTCAATCCCAAGCATACACCCACACACAGTGTTTCATGTAAGGGGAAAAGGACAGATGGAAAAAGCTGTGACTTCTCTAAGTAGAAATAAGAGAAAGTCATGGAGAGCTGGCTCCAAGTGAACATCCACCAAAGAGAGGGGATAAGTGATGAAGCAAATGCTTAAAAAAAGGGGAAGTGCTAACCCCTGAGGCCAGCTAATGGAAGGAGACATAATTCTTTATCTGCATCAATAGGAAGACAGTTCTGTGCACTGAGAGAAGAGCAGGAGCCTACTTAACAGCCTCAGTGTTCTCTGTGAAGTGAGGGGCAGAGTCATCCTGTTCGCAGCACTATTACCTGGTATATACCAAATGCTCAGTTATTAATTTATTGAAAGTACAAATCCTGGGTCTTTAGTATAACCCACAAGGAGCCTAAAACTTGATACCTGCCACGGTCACTACTATAAGCTATTTCCTTCCTCCCCTATACCCTTACCATCCATCCTAACGTCAGACAGAAACATGAGGTACCAGTATACAAATGTTTGCACAAAAACAAACACACGCTCCCACACAGAGAGTTTCTGCCTATAAGAGGGACAGAAAAAAGACAAGCTCTTATACCTACAGCTCCAGAAAATTAAATGTTGTAGAGTATTATTGGTAAAGCGAGATACATACCTTGATGAAGCAAAGATAGATGCATTGAGGCCCCCAAAGCAGGACAGGGCAACAGCAATAGGGATGGTCCAGCTGAACATGCCAAATGTCTGGTCAGCAAATGTCTGGTGGCAGAGCACAGAAGGGGCACTCAACACAGGACAGAGTTTCAAATCCTGTGCATTGACAATCTCAGGACAAAAGTAGTCACTGATGAACAGCCCACCATCTGGCCTAGACCCATCCCGTCATCTTTCAGAGCTGGAGTAGCTGCAGAGGAGAGAGACTAGGCCATTTAAAGGGGCTGAGGATCATAAGATGAGAAGAAAATGAGGTTTCCAAGAGACTCACCACAGCCACTGCATCACTGTTAAGGATATCCGAAATGTTCAGCACTGTGTAATAGGCCACGTTGGTCAGGATGTAGATAAACGTCACAATTGGCATAGAAATCCCAATGGCCAAGGGCAAATTTCTGTCAGGACAAGTGAGATAGAACCTAGAACCCTACCTAGAACCCACCTCTCCTAGAGATCAAAGTTCATCAAGTCTCTAGGGAAATTTTCCTAACATTTAATAGTTCCCTGGCCTCTAAGTGTTTGAGGCAGTCTTTCCCCATGGGCCTAGAGTGGGTATACATTCAGTGCCCCTGGGCTCTTTCTATTGAGAAATAGAGAGAGAAAATCCTTGCCACTGAAGGTCCAATTTGTCCCACAGGGTTTATAATCCTTCAGTATCTATCATCTCAGGACAAATCCAAGGAGCGATTTGGTCCTATGGAGACCAGAAGCCAGACTAGGGGACCAGCTGGCCAGAAGCAGCTCAGGTTTCACAGGCTGCAGTCTCAGCAGCAGAGTGTAAGGTCTTTACACCTCAGACCCAGCTGGGTCTGCTGCTGCCCACTGAAGACCTCTCCTCTAGGAAGGTCCCTGGGGACCCTCCAATGCAAACATGAGGGTGAGAACCAAGGGCTTTCCCACCATCACTCACTCCCATCCTAACCTCCAACCCCTCCTAACTGGAGAAGGGTAATAGAGAGAAGAGGGAATGAGAGGTAGAGGGAAGACTGTGGGAAGAGGGCAATGCACCCATTATCAGCAGGAGTTCCAGCTAAGCTGGGGAGTTGAGAGTGTGATCTCGCTTTTACCTTTCTGGGTTTTTGATTTCTTCTGTTACAAAATTAAGGGTGTCCCAACCTGAGTAAGAGAAGAGGGCAGAGTAGAGGGCAAGAGAGAGGTTTCCCATGTCCCAGGAGGAACCCTCAAAGGCATCCTGATAATGCTCAAAGTGCTCAGAGTGTCCTGTGGGGACAAAAGCAGGTGGGAATTCAGAAAGAAGAAAAAAGTTGAAGGAGAATAGGGAAAGGGGGATGGAAGGAATATGGAGAAGAGGAAAAATGGGGAAGATAATAAGAAAGAGGAAAGGAAAATGAAAAAAAGCAAAAAAGGGGAGGAAAAAAAGGAGGGATAAGAAAAGACAGGGAAAATATAGGACAAGGGAAAGAAAAAAAAATATCATTTAGTACCAAAAGAACAACAACCACCAGTTCCCTGTACTCTACCACCCAACCCACATCCTCAGAAAAGCTCATATTCCTTCCGTAAAACTAGACAATCTCAGAAAAACAAAGGCATTGCCTCGGAAGTGCCAATATTTTTTCTAAAACCCTAAGGAATTTCCATTTCCTACAAATGGAAATTTCACAGCAGGCCACAACTCTTCTTCTATTTTTTATAACACCACAAGGCTTTCACATAAAGAGGTCATTTTCCACTACTCATTAGAACTTCCTGTGAGGATCTTGGCCCACATCACTGCACAATTTGGTCATGTGGGTTTATCAGTCTTGCAGAAAGGATCTGCCACTCGTAGTGGGTGTGGTTGCACAGGGCAGGAAATCTCAGGCTATACAGGAAATGAGATTTTCTTGTCTCTCAGGGAGCCAACCCAGGCACCTGTCATTCTCTTTAGAGACCTCTGGAGACTACAAATCTGAAATCCCAGGGGGCAACACCCTGCCACACAGATCAGAGACCTTCTGGACACACTGAGGTTTTTTAACAGAACTCAGACTTCTAAGGAAGCTTGTAATAACCTGCTGCAGAAAACCTAGATGCAGTTTTCAATATGGAAGAAAGGGCTAGGTGTGCAGCAAGAGCAGTGAAAATAGATATCCATCCTCCAGGGATGTCAGTCATTGCACACAGTGGTTCCCTGAAGCACAGATTTTAGGAGGAGAATTACTCAATAATCACTGACACCAAGATGTTCTTGAGACTCCAAGGACACCCAGATGGCTGGCTGCACTTAGCATGAGTGCACAAAGGTCCTGGACTGATCACACAGGATACTTATTAAAAGCACAGCTTTTTAGACTTAAAACCAGCCAAAGCTTAAGCCAGGTGTAGTGGCACATGCCTGTTATTCCAGTAACTTGGGAGGCTAAGGCAGGAGGATTGCAAGCAAGGTTAGCCTCAGCCACATAGTGAGACCCTCTCTCAAAATAAAAATTAAAAAGAACTGGGGCTGTAGCTCAGTGGTAAAGCACCCCTCCCCACCCTTGTTTCAAACTCCAATACCAAAACAAAACAAAAAACAACCAATCAAAATATGATTCAATAGGTCTGATATGAGGGTCTCAGATCCCCACGGGGTGTAAAACAGACACATTTAGGGATGGATGATCTAGAAAATGAGATCGTTAAGTGAGGGAGAAATCCTTGGCTAAAGACCTCTCAGGACTTCTCTAAGGGCCCAGGAGATCTTAGGAGGCCTGTTATCCTCACTGTCAATCTGCTCTGATATAGAAATGAAAAGCTTTTAAAAGCCTACGTAAGGAAAGACAGTGTCAGTTTCCTAATATTCTAGTATTTTCTTAAGAGCTGACTTTGGGACAGAATGCTAAATGCAAATTCAGATGAAAAGTAAAGGCTACAAAATAACCACTCATTTCCACACCCACACACACTCTGACACTCCCTTCCAGGAAGGTCAAATTTTCCTATCCACTGCCTGGCAGTCACAGACCCAACCCAGGAGCCCACTCTGTCCTCCCCCTGGTTACTTTTGTGACCCAATTATGACCCAAGTTTCAAGACTTTCTAGGCCCTCAACTGGCTTCTTACAATGGTCCCAGTCTCCACAAAATGAAAGCAGCCCTGAGGGAGGGCCTGACATATCTAGCCTGGCCTACAAGGGCAAGAAGAGATTCAAGGCCATCTCTTGAATTCACTGAAACACTAACATGTACACAGAAAGAACTGAGTAGTAAAGCTAGTAAAGTCCCCATATCTTCCTCAGGGAACCAGAGGAGCTCCTGGACATCCACCCTTCTTCCCACCTCAGGCCCCTCTTACCCTGGCACAGTTTAACAATGCCCATGACAATGATGGCAATGAGGGCTAGGACCTTGGCGTAAGTGAACGTGTCCTGTACTCGTGTGCCCCACTTGACATAGGCACAGTTCACAAATGTCAGCAGACCTAGGAGGAAAACCATAAAGTCACTGCCAGGCTTAAGCTGATGGCACATAGGCCCACCCTCTTTACAGAGAGCATCACTTCTGCCCTTCTTGCCTAAATTAGAGGGAACAATGGACGATGAGAACCAAAAGAGGCAAATAGACAGATAACTTGAACCTGCCCCACCTGACAGCACCTATGAATGTCCCAATACTGTGGATATTCAAAGATAATAAAGGTAGCCAGGCACATGGTGCATACCAGTAATCACAGCTACTCAGGAGGCTCACATAGGAGGATCACAACTTTGAAGCCAGCCTCAGCATCTTATTGAGACTCTGTCTCAAAATAAAACAAAAAGGGCTGGGTCTAATTCAGTCCCCATTCCCTCTAAAAACCATCCCCCCAAATACCAGCTATCCCCTCCCTGTGTACTCTCTCCCCTGAACCCTATGGCATTCCCACTTCATAGCTAGAGTCTGATGCTAGGTTCCTATGGACATCTGTCTTAAAACAGGTCTTTTAGGTGTTTATGTGCTTCCCCAAGATCACAAATTTTCAGATGGCAACAAAAGCAAAGCATGTTTTTAAGCTCACTGCTAAGCAAAGGAGAACTAAGGAACCCTTGCTGGAATCAAAGTAGTGATGGCTTTCACTTGACAGCCAATTCACTGGGATAAGGCAATTGTCAGAAAGGTGTCAAAAGGAGAAGAACACCCAGGGTCAGCTGTGGAAGTAAACACAGGAGGCAGAAGAGTCTCTATGGTGCTTTAAGCACCATACACTGGCAAATTATACAGGTGTTCACTAGTCAATCATGGGGGGGACTGGAAGCACCAATGGACACAAAGAAGCAACCCAAAGGAGTGTGTGCTGCTGGAAAGTCTTCCCAGGGACCTACCTGATTATCAAAATTGTATGTATGGGCTAAGCCTAATCAGCTAACATACATAGTTAATAGCCACCAGTAATCCACAGACCTCTGTAGATTACCCCTGTGGATATAATACAGTAAGCATATTTTTAGGTACTTACTCAGTCCCTTCTTGAGAATTGCTTCCCCTCTTCATCATAGCTAACTAAGCCAGACATTGGACCCATGCTGGCTTTTTAGATTGTCTCCCCCAGGAACATGGAATTTGAATACCAAGAGACCAAATCTAATAGTAGCAGGGTACTCTAACATGAGTTGGGAACCACAACAAGTCAAACACACAAGCCCTTGGTAACAGAGGACCAGAAACCACAAGTAAGCAGAGGAAGGAAGCAGGACTACAAAAAGAAACAGAAGTGAGAGAATAAGAAATACACAGAACTGGACATAGGGTGCACACCTGTAATCCCAGCAACTAGGGAAGCTGAGGCAGGAGGATTGCAAGTTTGCGGCCAGCCTCAGCAATGTAGCAAGACCCTAAGCAACTTAGCAAGACCTTATCTCAAAATTAAAAAAAGGGCTGGGGATGTAGCTCAGTGGTAAAGCACCCTTGGGTTCAATCCCTAGTACAAAAAAAAAAAAAAAAGAAAAGAAAAAGAAATACACAAAGAAAACAGCAGAGATAGATATAAGGCAAAGACAATGAAATAGAGACACAGGGAAGGAAACAAAAAGAAAAAAAAAAGATAACATGGGTAAAAAAGGATCCACATTGGAAAAGAAACTGACAATATCCTGGAAGTGCTCACTGAGCTTGTATGTAGAACCAAAATGGGGAAGGGACTGATAACAATCTTCATTCCACAATGCCAGGGATAGCACCTTCTCCTTCCCTCAGTCCTGTTGCTAATTTCCTGCAGGGCTAGTCCTCTCTGCACACAAGTAAATAGAGCACACTGTGGAAATTCAATGACTGTGAGCTAAACTAATGAATGAAGTCCATTCCCCAAGGAAGTCCCTGCAGGATCAGTTTCAAAAGACCTGCTGCAAGGATATAAAAGCACCTGGTCAGTAACACTACCTCCTGAGAAGAAAACTAAAGATCTGGAGAGGGAGGGGGCCTTTTTCTACACCATTTTATACTCTGACACATTCACTATGCACATATACTTCTTTCTCAATGAACATAGTTAAAATGCCACAATGTACGACCAGAGAACAGGGCCAGGGGTAGGATCAAAAGTCAGATATCCAGGGCACAAAATGTAAAAAAAACCATCCACTTTCAGGGGACCATGTGCAGGAACCTGAGAGTGAGTATATCCTTACTTCCTGGCTCCAGGCTCCTAGCTTGCCTCATTCTACTCTCAGCCCTGCCAGAGAACATTCTATCAAGCAGAAGCCAAGTCCCTTGACTGCTTTCCTGATTCTAATTAAGAAACACAATTTCACCATCTAAATCACACCCCTTGATGCCTCCCAGAACTCCAAGCCCATGGGGCTGGGGTTGAAGCTCAGTTGTAGAGTACTTGCCTAGCAAGTGTGAGGCACTGGGTTCAATTCTCAGCACCACATATAAATAAATTAAATAATAAAGGTCTATTGACAACTAAAAAAGTATGTTAAAAAAGTAAAATAAAATAAAGAACTCTCATCTAGCTAGCTCACTAGACTGTATCAGAGCTCAAAGACAAGACTGAGCCTTGTGGCCAGGTGCTCAGATTCCACTGCCTCCACTTGAACTTCTAAGCTTTCCCTCTCCGTGGCATTTCCTTGTTGGATAAGCTGGCATCAATAAGCAGGGACCCATATGAGGCTCTCCCAGAGAAATCAGTACTCAAAGAGATCCAGACCCAACCCTGACACAGAAACAAATTCCCAAAGTCTCTCTGTGGTAGAGATTGCTAGTCATCTTCTCCAAACTCCTTAACAGAAACTTGAGCTAGTCTTGGCCACTCCAAAACAGACATTCCTAGTTTCCCCTGCAACTACTTAAGGCTAGGAAACTAGATTTTCTCCCAGATATGTGAGCAGATAAGACCTCTAAAGGGAAGAGTATACCTTTGTCCTTCTGGTCACCTACAATGCCCAACATGACCTGTGGAGCTTGAGTAGTCATTCTGGACCACAGTTAGATGTCACAGGCTGAGGATGGCAGAGCATTAAGATAGAAGAAAGAAACCTGGCTCTCTGAAGCATTTTAAAAGTTGTCTTACCAACCCAACCTGCCTATTTTTAATAGGTGAGAGAAATAAACTTCAACATTGGAGTCATGCTTCTTTGGGTTTTCTGTTGTATGAAACCCAAACTAATCCTAAGTAACACATGCTCCTCCTGACAGAGCTATACCTCTAACACTCTCCCTGACAGCAAGTGGCTGGGTGGCCTGAAGCTGTAGTCCCAGCTATGCTGAGAGTCAGTTTCCTTTTCCCGGAGGGGAGAGGAGGGAAACCTTCCAAGTCTTCTCACAAACAGGCTGGGTGTTAACAAGGGCATCCAAGGACAAAGGAGTACGGTCCTACAAGGCAATGACAAAGGTGGTGGGAAAAAAGAGGGGGGCAAATTTTTATTTTTTTATGCTGATGAGGATTGAACCCATGGCCTTGTGCATGAGAGGCAAGCACTCTACCAACTGAGCTATATCCCYAGCCCAAGGGGGCCAATTTTAAGTCTTTTCGGAGTGAAATGCTCTACAACAGTCCATTTCCTTCCAAATGGAAATCCAGAATCAGTAGCTACCTCCTAGAATGTATAGGAATATGTAATTTGTGTGCCTTTTAAGGAGTATTCCTAAAGCAGGGCCCAATGGCATGCCCCTACAGTCCCAGCTACTCAGGAAGCTGGGGCAGGAGGGTCACTTAAGCTTAGATCAGGGCCAGCCTGATCAACACAGCAAGACCACATCATAAAAATAAATAAATAAATAAGCCAAGTGCAGTGGCATATGCCTGTAATCCTAGCAACTCAGGAGACTGAGACAGGAGGATCACAAGTTTGAGGTTAGCCTTGGCAACTTAGCAAGAACCTCAGCAATTTGGCAAGCCTCTGCCTTAAAATGAAAAATAAAAAGGATGGGGATGTAGCTCAGTGGTAAAGTGGTTCAGGTTTGATCCCCAGTTCTGCAAAGAAAAAAAAAAAAAAGAAGCAGCAAAGAAAAAAATTAGATCCTAATTTCTGAAAATAGCAGAATTGCCAACCCTGATAGTGCACAACTGTGATACCAGCAATTCAGGAAGCTGAGACTGGAGGATCACAAACTTGAGGCTTGAGACCTGTCTCAAAAACAGGACTGGGAATATAGCTCATTATCAAGCCCTTTTTATTTTGAGAGAAGGGTAAGGTACTCCTGGGTTCAATCCCAGTAACAACAGATAGGCAGATAACTGAATAGATAGATAGATAGATAGATAGATAGATAGATAGATAGATAGATAGATAAAACTACCTGGGGGGGGGCATATAGCTTAGTATTAGAATGTGTGGGGGGCAAGGGTTCAATTCCTAACACCAAAAAAAAAAAGAAAGAAAGAAAGAAAAGAATCCTTGTCTTTAATTATACAAATATATCTAGTCTTATTATCCGAACACTTGAACTACATATAGGGTTAGAGTCTTTGAGCAAGATCAAGACTCCTTAGCCTTGTGTCACTTAGAAATATGAAAGATGGCTGGGTGCAGTGATACAAGCCTGTAATCCCAGCAATTGGGGAGGCTGAGGAAAGAGGATTGCAATTTGATCGCTAAATGGCCAACCTCAGCCATTTAGTGAGGTCCTAAGCACCTCAAAATAAAAAATAAGAAGGGCTGGGGATGTAACTCTGATAAAGTGCTCCCCAGTACGAGAGAGAAAGAGAGAGAGAGAGAGAGAGAGAGAGAGAGAGAGAGAGAGAGAGAGAGAGAGACCCATCTATCCATAGTAACTACTGATCAAAATAGGGGAAGAATATTCCCCCGCCTTTTTTGGTACTGGGAATTGAACCCAGGGGCACTTTACCACTGAGATGCATATCAAGCCCTTTTTATCTTGAGAGAAATTCTCACTATGTTGCTTAGGGCCTTGCTAAATTGCTGAGGCTGGTCTCAAATTTGTAATCCTCTTGCTCCAGCCTCCCATGTCACCCAGCAAGAATATTCTTTTATTCAAAAG